GCGCATGGGCGGCGCGGCCAATGAGCGCGCGGAGACGCGGAGCCACGCCCCTCGCCGCCGTCTCCGCCAGTGCGGCGCGGGGAGGGCTGCACGCACCCGCCCCCTGCTGCCGTCGGCCAATGAGGGCGTCCCGCCCGCCCCCGCGCCACGCGATTGGACGGGAGGTTTCGCGCCGGCGCGGGGCGCCGCACGTGGCGCTCGGGCCGCACGTGGCCCCAGCGGAGCGGGACCGGGACCGGGACCGGGGCCGGGACCGGAACCGGAACCGAGACCGGGACCGGGGCCGGGGCCGGGACTGTCACTGTCACCGCCCGCGAGCAGCCCGGACCCGGCCGGGCCCGCGCGGCGCAGCCCTCGGTGTCCCCCCGCCCTGGTAGCCCCGGTGTCCCCTCTGCTCGCTGGTGCCCCCGCCCTCACCGGTAGCCCCGGCGCCCCCCGCCCTGTCTGGTGCCCCCCGGTTCCCCCCGCCCTCGCCGGTGTTCCCAACGCTCTCCCGTGCCCCCATCCTCCCCGGTAGCCCTGGTTCCACGGGCCCTGGCCAGTGCCCCCGCCCTGGCTGATGCCTCCCCGCTGCACCAGCAGTCCCGGTTCCCCAGCCCTGCCGGATCCCCCTGCTCCCTGGCCGGTGCCGGTTGTGCCGCAGGACACGGTGCAGGACGCAGGGTGCGGAGCGGGGTGCAGTTTATTGGGGAGCTGGGGGGCGCGGGGGGGCTCAGGCCAGCAGGCGGCCGTGCAGCGCGAGCAGCTGCTCCCCGCTCAGCACCAGCCGGTGCAGCTGCCCGCGGCCCGGCGCGCACGGGAACGTCACCTTGCCCACGTAGACCGTGTCCTCGCGCTGCTCCTCGCGCGCCTGCCGCAGCGCCCCGGCCTCAGCGCCCGCGGCCCGGCCGCTGTCCCCGGGGCCACCGTCCCCCCGGGACCACCGTCCTCCAATGCCACCATCCCCCAGTGCCACGATCCCCCCAGGACCACCATCCCCCAGGGTCACCGTCCCCCCGCACTGCAGCCCTCAGGCCACCATCCCCGCCGTGGTGGGTCCCTCTGTGTCACCATGCCCCCCAGGCCACCACCCCCCTGCACTGTGTCCCCCACCCAGCGCCCTGCCAGTGCCAGTGTGTCCCCCAGCGCCACCATCCCCCTTTGACACTGTCCCTGCTGCGCCACGTGCTGCCATCCCCGCTGTGCCACCATCCTTCCGTGGCGTGTCCCCCCGTCACCATGCGCCCTGCCGCATGTCCCGCAGTGCCACCACCCCCCCGCAGTGTCCCCCCCGCCGCTGTCCCCCCCTCAGTGTGTCCCCCCCATGTCCCCCCGTGCGGCAGGCCCCGCTGCAGGGCGGCTCTCGCCTTGAGGAAGGACGAGGAGGGGAAGGTGGCGAAGTCGGTGGGGACGCTGGCGCCCGGGTGCTGCAGAACCGTCTCCTTCATGACCTCGTCCTGCGGGACACAGGGCCGCCTTGTCCCCGACGAGCCGTGCTGGCCCCCGCATGCCCCGTGCCCCCCGCGCTGCCCCTTACCCGCAGCGCAGCCCCTTACCCGCAGCACTGCCCCTTCCCCACAGCACTGCCCCTTCCCCACAGCACAGCCCCTTACCCACAGCACTGCCCCTTCCCCACAGCACTGCCCCTTCCCCACAGTGCTGCCCCTTACCCGCAGCACTGCCCCTTCCCCACAG